CCCCCCCATAAAGACAACATTTGACCTCTCGTGTTCCCTTCATGACGAGTTTTGATACATCAGTTCATATCAGTAAAGATGTGGTTTGATGACCTCACAAACTTTTCATATCCACACCCGGTTATTTTCTTATACAAGGATGCATGAAATATAAAACAAACCACCAGTTCAGAAACATGGGTTAACTCTAGAAGATTATTTAAAGGGAAGAGTTAAAATTTCTATTTCTCCAATCAATTCAAAAATAAAATATTTCAATTAAACAGAGACAAAAAAAAAAGTCTGCACAGCTTTGTTTGGGATTTTAGCTTGGCGGAAAAAAAACCCTTAAATTTCCCTCTGGAACCGATTTCCTGAGATGAGATGCAATATATATTTAAAAGCTGCTGTGAAAACACACCCGATAACTGACCACGTTTTAAGTTAAACCACAATTCAAACTCAGCTGATTTGAGTAACGTGTTGTTTCTAATTTCTTTTTCCATTTTAGTCTCTGTCATCCCTGCAGTTTCTGGAGAAGTTGGATTTGAGTTTTAACCGGCTGCGGTGGCTCCCTCAGGACTTCTCTCAGGGCCTATACTCCCTCCAGGAGCTCCGGCTGAGCAACAACCTGCTGCAGCACTTAGACTCCAAATCACTGGAAGACTGTGGCAGCTTGAGGAAACTGGACCTCAGTTACAACCACATCCGAGGACTGGACATCAAGGCTTTGAGCAGCCTGTCTCGACTGAGCTTCCTCAACATGGAGGGAAACAGGCTGAATGTTCTTAAAGATGGCCAGCTGAACAGGCAGCAAACTTTGGAAGTCCTGCTGCTCAACTACAACAACATCTCAAAGATTGAGGCCGAATCTCTGGCTCCCTTGCGAAGGCTCTCTCTGCTAGGTCTCAAGGGAAACCAGCTAGAGCACATAAGGTTCAAGACCTTCCTGAAGCTCCAGACAACCAGCACCTACCTTCAGATGTCCCTCAACCCCTGGATCTGTGACTGCGAGCTGCAGCGCATCTTCGGCAAGATCAACCATGTGCGACATCTGCACGTAGAGGACTACAAGGACATCATCTGTCACGCTCCCGCTCAGCTAGCCGGAAGTCTCCTGGCTTCGATGGACAGCCAGCTGTGTATAGCTGAGACTGCCTCAGTGCTCGTCATCACCATCACCGTGATGCTCGCTGTGATTGGTGCTCTGGTAAAAGCGGAGCGCAACCGTAAGAACAAACAAGCCTCAAGTGAAGCAGAGTCCCAGGGACAAGAAAAGTGATACTTTTTACTCATTTACAGGAACTCTAGGACTAATATGTGACCCGATTCTGGATGCTGAGCAGCAGACAAGTACAAATTATCACATTCTATTCTGTTTCAATGCTCTTTAAAGCTTTTTATACTTATGAAGCAGGCACTGTAGGTAAAAGGAGAGAAATCAAAGTGGAAATGGCTCATGTAGTAGCATAGTAAACAATCCAAATTTACCCATATGTTCTGGGTAACATGAACATTAAGTGTCATCTTGTATACTTGCCTAAAGAATTTTTTAATGAGACGCAAACTTTGTCTTAATCTACAGATTACAGCAAAAGAGCGGGAGTCGGGCCTAGAGAAAAGCCTGAGCACTATTCCGGTGCGTGTAGGACTCATTCAACATCAGGCTACCTCCGAACATTTTTGAAATTCCCTTTACTGGTCTGACAACACAGCCACATCTCAACCCCTTTGAAAACTGGTTGGTCTCCAGTACCTGATCTATCCTTTTTGTCATTGACCTTTTTTAAATGAGCTAAAACATGTTCCATATGGGATGTGACACTATGGTCATATTACACTGGTTTTATTGTTGATGGAATATGAAATATTGTATGAAGAAATCTTAATTTTAGCAATGGTGGCCAAACCTATTGCAAAAGTTCATAGCAAACCACAAAACAAAACAAAACAGACTGACCAGTCTGGCAGGTTGGAAGTGATTCAGTGAGATTAGTAAAAACATAAAACCAACATATGACTAAAAAAAACGATTGAAGTCATTAATGGAATAAATGGAAGCTCAAAGGTGAATCTTCTTTAGCTAAGTATAAAAACACATTCAGGTGTTTTCTTTGTGTTGAACTACATGTTGGTTTAGACACTGACACAAGCCACACATTAAATATAAATCCTCCAAAAAGGCTTTATGCATATTTAATCACTCATCCTGGTAATTATGCCTCCTAAACACACTGCACAGTCTTGGACATGAAGGATCTGTTACATTCAGCCTTTCTTCCTTGTTAACTGAATGTTGAGCCAAATTGGGCACATCATAGAAAACAAACTGCAACTTTCAGTAAAATGAAGTCACTTGAATACCCATGTAACGAAACAGTTATTTCATATAAAATGTAAGCAGTTAAAAAGTATTACAGCTGTAGACATATAAAAGACGGACTGGGTCTAAAAAGTGAAGCCAATTGAGTTTGTAAATTTCGGAAGGAGAATAATGAGTACACTTATTTGTTAAGGCTTATGATTGACAACCCATTAAACAATGAGAGTGCTGTTTCATAGTCAGACCTGCTGCTTCTAATAACACAATGGTGAAGGTAAAAACGCGTATCTGGAAGCTTTAAAGCCAGCGGGAGACATCACATTGCCAAGCCCACCTTTTACACCATCTATGATGTCAGACAGGACTACCCATTGAAAGACTGCTTTAAACATGGTGTTTATTCCCAATAGGCCAGCATAGTCATTCCACTTCAAAAGCAATATCACATAAGACGTGCAACAAATTAAAGGAAAAACCTGAACCTTTGACCCTTCCCCTACAGTGAGGGGTGGGAGTTAATTAAACTTTATAGGAGTTCTAAATTGGCTGCAGGTGTGAGTGGCATACCCCGCCCCTCGCTCTCACCCAAAGTCAGCTATGACAGGATCCAGTTCCAACCTCTGGTTGGTGGTTAAGAAAGACAGCTGTATGTATGTACGTACAGGAGAGCTGATGTTTTAAGTTGGCGCTCTGCAAAAACCAAATCACAAAATTAGTGAATAATCTCTTAGGTTAAAGCTGTTTATTACAGAGACAGCTGGACTGAAGCTGTTCTGGCTCACCATGTTGCTAAGCACAGATTGGCAATTAATCAAATTATACTTTCAGTTATCATTTTGGCCTTTTCTCGGATTGGTCTCACTGCTGTGTGGTATTTTGCACAGTACTGCTGGTTGTGGAAGAATTTATCTAAAATGATGCTTTTGTTGACAACTAAGATAAGAACCACCTAGGATAATGCATCTCAACTTTTCTTCAGGTCAAGAAGGGCTTTGGAATTAAGTCAAATTTAAAATCTGTTACAAACATGGCTTCTAACAATTACAAAAACAAGGTAATGGACATAAAACTATTTGTTTGTGTTGTTCCTTTGCAGCCGTGCACTTTCATCCCTCTCTAAAACCCCAATCAAGCTGTTGCTTCGTGATGGCTTTTTCCTTTGTCACCCAGCAATTTTTCCCTTTTTTAAAATCACGTATTTAAACCATCCACTGTAAATAGTGATTGAAATCATTAACACCTCTTTTAAAAGTTCCCAGTAGGTTTGTAGTAATAACACTCCCTGTCAAGCTTCAGAGCATATCAGAAACAAAAATGTAAACATAAATCCAAATAAATTATTAACATTTAAAAAGCAAGGTTGTGTTTTTTCTTTTTCCTTGCAAAAGCAAAGTTACAAACTGGATAATCGACGCAGCTTACATCCAACCGTCTCAGCAGTGACTGTTTTTAATCCTGAGGCGTCATCGAGTGACGGCAGCTTTGAGTACAGAGTTGGGCCACGATGAAAAGGCCAACGACATCTTCCTCTGGTGCACACACCTTGGTCTGTAAAAGCTGTCTGAGTGTGTGACTGTTCAGCCATCAGTGGCTAGGATCAGTACAGCGGCGAAGATGCCCACATTATGACCTATCAGCTTCATCTGGTTCCAGAACTCCACCTTCCGAGTGTGGTGCCAGTAACCAATGTTACCATCGATGAGCAAGATAATAAGAGGAAGGATGGTGGCCAGGATCTGAGCGGCCAGGCGGATGTAGCAGCCGGAGAGGAAGGCCAGAGCCAGGATGCCAAACACCACCTCCAGCAGCATCAGAGTGACCTCTCCCCCAACGATGTGGTTCAGATAGACCTGCCTGTCCTCTTTGCTGTGCTGGAGGGAGTAAACCTAGTGGGGAGAAAATAGCACTGCAGTATTTGAACTAAAAACAAGGTCTGATCAATAAAATGTTACTCAGAAATTTATGGAATATTATTATTATTTCATATAAATGATTATCTGGTTTGTAGAAATTAATTACAAGTAGCTAATTTCATGTTATTTGATCACAGAAAGAATTCTGGTCAGACTCTGAATCTAATTTAATAAAACAGATCAATTCAAAAATGACCAGTACGCACAGTTTTGTCTAAGCAGCACTAAGATATACACTTAGTTTATAAAGACACTAGGGGAAATAAGGAACATCTTATATTTAAAACCTATTTAGTTCACAATGGCATTGAGTGAAAATAACAAAACCTCATACTTAACAATCTAGGTCTGGGTCGTTGTGGCAGCTGTCTAAGCCAAGATTCCCACACTTGCTTCTCCCAGCCAACTCCTTCAGCTCTCCTGGGAGGACACCAAGATTTCCCTAACAAGCTAAGAGACATTATCTCTCCAGTGTGTCTTAGGTCTGCCCTGGGGTCTCATCATAGTAGGACATGCCCAAAACACCTCACCTAGAAGATATCCTAGTCAAAAACCTGAACGACATCAACTCATCGCCTTAGAGACACTGTGATGTCTCTTCGCAGTCTCTCTAAGGCCAAGTCAAGACACCTTTCAGAAAGAGCTCATTTCCACTGCTTGTATCCACAATCTTATTTCTTTAGTCACTACCCACAGCTCATGAACAGGTAAAGAAAGGAAAGTAGATTGCTAAATAAACTGCTTTGCTTTCACACTCAGCCTCTCCCTCACTTAACACACTCCACCACTCCATGTGTCAATCTCCTGCTACACTCTCCCCTACTTGTGAGCAAGACCTGGAGATTCCTAATCTCCTCAAAGTGGCCTATAGCCCAACTAGCTCTAAAATCTATAGAAGTGAAATGTGTCTTACCATGCAAATGAGATAGACTCCCAGAAAAACCTGTCCAGTAGACTGCAGGGATCTGCTGCGAGGTTTCTGTCTGTATACTTCCCCTGCGCCGCTGGCCAGAATCAGAAAGCCTCCAATAATGGCCAGCGCTCTGGAGTACATTCGCACCTGTAGTGAAAAAGATTCAAACTGTCACAATCTGAGGCAAGTTCCTACCACAGTTGCTCTGATAAAGCAATCTACTCTGACTTGTAGTGGTGGCCCAGATCCAATTTCACCGCCATGTGTGACACAGATCCACTTTTGATTAATAGCTCAAAGACTGATCCGGGCCATTGTTTGATTTAGTAGAAGTTTAACCTCCATCAGTGGTCAAAAAATGAAATGTATTACATTCAATGAGTATCAGATATAAACAAATATGTGCTCAAAAGTATTAGAGTTCATGTGTAGTGCAAAAAGACAACCCAAAAACAAACATCTCGAAGAACATATTACTGCATGTTGACACCATGCATGTTATATATTATCACTTCAGACTGGTGTCAGATATTACATTAAATAAAATCTGGCAGGCAATGGTGACGCAGAAGATCTGCTATGGCAAATACTATAGGGAGCAGCCAAAAGATTATTCAGAGGGTCCTCGTAGGTTTTATTCATAGACAGGATTCTTCAGAAAGTGGGAGAACCAGCAGAATCCCGTCTCCAGTCTCTCCACAGAAAGAGACAATGATACAGTCATAACAAAAAAGAAAAATTTGGGTTTTCAAGTATTCTCTATCACAGACTAATTTATTCCTTTTCAAACCAAACTGTTCCATTTCACCAATCTTCTGAACTATTTTTATCCACTCAGTGTTTGTTAGAGATTGCTTATTTAAACACTTATTAGTCATTGCTGTCCTACTTTTAGTTAACAATATAAATATAACAAAAAGCTGTCTTTTTTTCTTTTTAGCTCAGGTAGCATATTCACTAAATAACACTAAAATCAAAGTTAATCTGTTTAGCTGACAATTTAACTTATATCTGTGAACAGAACTTACTTTTCTATCAAATGACGTCACTCACCTTAAGCCATTCCCCATAATACACCTGCTCTCCAACGTATGATGCGTAAGTACTGATGGCAAGCTGTATGGCAGCAGCCAAAGCAAACCACCGTCTCTTCACCCCAAATGACATGAAGCTCGCACAGATCACCGCAGCGCCCATGTCCACATACAGGTACGGTATGTGGATATCTGGCTTCCTGTAGATTGTTGGGAATTAAAAGCGTGTCAGTGGGTCAGTTTTTCCCCCGCCTCAGAATAAACTTTTGTGTTACGTTATAGATTTACATTTATATTTATACATTTTCCGTGAAGCAGCTGTAATTACAGGATGGTTCAAAGGGGTGTGGTTGTCCACCATAGACTGAAAAATACACACCCAGTATCAACACTGAAACGACGACCAAGAAAGAAAATTACAGCCTACCCTATCTAAAATTACAGACGAGGCCAAATATAACACGGCTTCTTAATTTAAACCACTTCTTCAGCCCATCAACTTTCGGCATGGGAGTAATTTCTGCAATTCAACTCACATTAGCTAGCAAGCACATTCCCACATTTAAGATAAAAGAAAAAAGGTTGCTTCGTGTAACTTTATCCTTTAAACTCAACCTTTTCAGCCATAACAATTTTCAGCTAATACTTCTCCAATAACATGTTTTAATATTTAGACTATTTTTTCCCTCAAAGTTTGACTCGATCTTAAAGTAGCAGGTTGTTAGCGCGTCAGCTAACTTGAGCTAGCTCTCTCGTTCTTTCTTTCTTTACCTTTTCGAGTCCGCTCGTTCTGCAAAGAGCATCAGCATGCTGAAGCAGTTCCAAAATCCAAACCGGGTCAAAATAAACGCCCCCACTTGGCTTAGAAACCTCAACATCTGCTTCCTACTGGGACCCGCCATCGTTGCTGCTGC